CACAATTCCCTCTAGGCTGCTCCTAAGCTCCACCCCCTCTAGGAAATGGGTTCTCTAAGATGGCTGCCTCAATGCATCTCATAAAATGGCTGCCGAAATACCTGGGCCCACTTTCTGAGCTTTCCCTGGCCTAAAAGAGTAAAAGAGTTCATAACATTAGTAATTTCAGAGAAGACGCTCTGGGTTTCATCAAAATACTACAAAATATCAGTTAATAATGCATTGTTAGTGCATTTTTTTCACCAGTTCTCAGAATTACTGTGCTGGCATTGAGTATTCTGTACAATGAGTGTGTGCGAGTGGGTGGGAGATGGGACATGAGTAACTTATCTGTCCCAGAGAGCGCTGCATTGAAGTAACTTGACCACTGTGTGGTTGCAACCATGTTAGTTTATGTGTGTAATTTTTTTTACAATATGATCCACTGTGATAGAAGTAAATAATAATAATAATAATAATAATAATAATAATAATAATAATAATACTTTAATTATCAACCGCCCTCTCTCCCCAAGGGGACTAAGGGCGCTTTACACACACAAAAGGCAAACATTCAATGCCCAACTCAAATACGAACATTTTAAAATAAACAAAATAATACAAAAATAATAACCAGAAACTTATGCCAAAAGAGAAATTAAAACCCAAATGGGGACCAAATATGAATAATTGAATAAACCTAATTATACTAATAACAGAAATTAACCATTTAGACATAAAGCCTAGAAAAGGCAATTAAAATACATTAAAATGACTATCAAGGTTGTTCTTCGCATGTGTCATAATATCTTGTAGTTCTTGACAAATCAGCAATATTAAAAAAAATGCAGACCAAAAGTAAACAAACCGACTCCCCCCCCCCACCCACCCACCCACCCCAAGTTGAGGACAAATTATTTAAATACAAGTTCAAACATCAACCAAACTGGAGTATCTTGGCTTCTAGCAGTTTATGCGAACCTGTAATTAAACTGAGCAAATATTCCCCCCTCCAAAAAAATATTTGAGCTTGAGTCTGAAAAAATAACATGCTAATAAAAACATCATTGATTGGATCACATCTCTTTTTTCACCTAAACTGTACAGCAGTATGGGCCTATGACAAGCCCTGCTTTTATATGCATTAAACTTGGGCTCTGGCCAAAGAACATAATTTACTCTCAGATCCAAGTAGCCAGGTAAAATGCAAGGAACCTGAACAGCAACTGTTCTGCTTATGTAGAAATCAATAGTAAGGTTGTGTGCTGGGCATGCTAGGAAATAACTCTACAATGGACACATTTAAGTACAAAGTCATCATTCAGATTGTAAGACTTGGGTGGTTGCAAAGCACTCCTGCTGTCCCAAAGAGCCCAGAACTGCATTGGGATTAACAGTGATCATTATATTTCATATATGTCATATTTATAGCTCTGTTGACTTTGTGATAAGGGATTCAAGAGTTGCTACAGCCACAACTAACTAGAGAAGGCAAAGATTGACAGTGCCACAGAAAAAGCAAAAATGGATAGTGCCACAGATAATGAAGTATTCACTGTCAATGCCAAAGAAGAATCCTGTGGCATCCAATAAATAAATACAATGGTGCATCCTTTCAACTCATTAAGGGCAAAAATAGGCCTATCTCATCACACTAGAGAATGGATCCACTTTAAATCCAGTTTCTGTCTCCTGCAGAATTCTGGGGTTTGTAGTTTAGTGAGGCTGTTAAAGGCTCCTCCCTAAACTACAAACTCCAGAATTTTGCAGGAGGCAGCAATTGGATTTAAAGTGGATTCATTCTCTACTGTGATGAAGTTTCTAGTCCTTTGTAGCACTTAATCCAACAATGAATGTAATTCATTCACAAAAGAGGTCAATACGTCACCCTGAATACCTTCTCTGGCAACGTTCCCAATTACACGGGCTTCCTACTTATTACACACACTCTTTGGAAGGATTTAATTTTTGTGTTTGTTACAAAATTTACTGAGGATTTCTGAAAACGTGATTGAAAGTATTATATAGAGGAACGATGCAAATATGGGCATTAATCCGACAAAATAACAATGGTTTTGGTCACATTAGTGTCTGTGTAGCAACAAAGCTTTGCCTTAATGAACAACCCAAAGATGCTTGCAGCTGTCTCCTCCATTCTACTTAAAACTGCATTTTGAATTCAGTACTATATTTTTCATGTTAGGTAAAGGTAAAGGGTGTCCGACTTGGGTGTGGAGCTCATCTCCATTTCTAAGCCGAAGAGCAGGTGTTTTCCGTAGACACCTCCAAGGTCATGTGGCCAGCATGACTGCATGGAGCGCTGTTACCATCCCGCCAGGGCGGTACCTATTGATCTACTCACATTTGCATGTTTTTGAACTGCTAGGTTGGCAGAAGCTGGGGCTAACAGCGGAAGCTCACGCTGCTCCCCAGATTTGAACCTGTGACCTTTCGGTCAACAAGCTCAACAGCTCAGCTGTCTAAACCACTGTGCCACCGGGGGCTCCTATTTTTCATGTTATTGTTACATTAATAAGACCAAGGGGAGTCTATGCACACAGCAGAGTGAAGAGATTGCTATTGGGTGCATGCAACTGATTCAGTGGAATCCCAAGTAACAAAACACACTGACTAGATTAATTTGGACAGTTTAGGACCAGAAGCAGATCAGATTGGTCTGACTTCATTCTTGAGTGAAATGGCAAAATCCAAAGTTCTTTATAACAGTATGAATATCTAGCTATTACAAACAGGTAGTAAAACATACCAGACATTGTGTTATCATCTGAGTGGATGTATCTCTTTCTAAAATTCCCTTTTTGCCTTGACATTATCCTAGCTTAATCTAATGTTGTTATTTGTTAACTTGCCTACTTACAAGTTCAGGTAGCACAATTTAGGGTGCACATACACTGTAGAATTAATTAAATTTGACAACATTTTAACTGCCACAATTCAAAGCTATGGAATCATGAGCTTTGTGGTGTTGTTAAGTATCAGAACTCTTTGACACAGATGTCTAAAGAGCTTGTAAAACTACAACTCCCATGACTGCATAACCTGATTTCAGTGCTGGTCTTAGTTGGGAATGCAGCCTGGGGAGGTTGAAGGACTCGGGTTGGAATAGTGGGGAGCAGGGATGAATTCTTAAAGGGTATTGGACTATTACTCAGGGGGAGGGGGTTAAAATTTAATATTATATTGACCATCCTTTGCCACAGAGTGAGGTTTTACTCACTACCTGTCCTATGAAGTGATTAAAACATATAAGAGTGATGTCACCCCTTGTTAAGCAACATTCACAAAGTTATGCATGTCTATGTTATTGGAGAAAGGAATCAATTATGCACAGTTCGTTATTTTAAATGATTGAGGAGCTGCAGTGGCACAATGGGTTAAACCTTTTTGCCAGCTGTACTTCTAATCTGAAGGTCGGTGGTTCAAATCCACGAGAATCTGCCAGACAGGGTGAGCTCCTGCCTGTCAGCTATAGCTTCCCATGCGGGGACATGAGAGAAGCCTCCCACAGGATAGTAAAACACCCGGGCGTCCCCTGACCAACATCCTTACAGATGGTCAATTCTCTCATACCAGAAGAGACTTGCAGTTTTTCAAGCCACTTCTTACACGAAAAAAATTTGAATGATTTAATTATAAACTCTGATGTTTCATTTATCTGGATATTTGTCAGCTGAAATTTGTCAGCTGGAAATCTAAAACATTGCTAACTTTATTTTACATAGATAACTACTTCAATTGTTATATTTAAAATCACCTTTTATTTCTTTTCCCATAGCAGATTACAGAGTTACATCACTGACCAAATGCTTTCTTTCAGTGCTAAATTGGTTCATGTCTGTTCAACACCACTGAGATAAGTGTGTGAACAGGGTCAAATAGAAGATGATACAAAGGCCAGTTATCAGACTGACAGCCTGCTTAACTCAGACTGCATTATAGTTTTTTGCAGCTGTATAGGAAGTAGACTTTCAAATGCAAAGCATGACTTAGCTTTTTTTAAAAAGTACATTTGAATCCTGTAGTTCAAAAGGAAACGAAAGTTGACCTTTTTGTGATGGCAAGATCTTCTGTTTCCTCACAATCGGTCTGCCTTAGGAAGCATTTGCATCAACAGAAAAATGGTAGTAGTTATTTTCAATGTGCTTATTGAGCAAAGCCAGTGTGTTCAAACAGCACTGATAGTTTTCTATTACAGTTAAGGTACTGTAACTCTTCTTTGCTATGTATTCTACATGGCTATCTATCAAATAATTTTAACTATATATTATTATAGACGGTGTGCTCCACCACCACTGTAAACAGAACAGCACTTATCTGAAATATCCTTATATGTATATAAATAATGCAACTCAAACAAATGACCTTTTTATGCTCACAGTTTCCCTAAGTTGCATATAAATTTCTTGGCCATTATCAGTAGATTGGAATGGATTCTGTTCTTCGCACTGTTCTTTTATAATCCTCCCCTTCCCAATTCAAGAATCTATTCTAAGAAAAGTACATGTATTTAGGAAAGCAAAGGGAATAAAAATATCACTTGATTTGAAAAAATGGGTAGGGTTATGAGGCATCCTGTTTTATTTTTGCCACCCTAAAGTACCTCTTTATTACAATATTTCAATTAATATCCGTAATGTCTAGTTCCTGCCTAGCAGAGCTAGATGAAAAGGTTTATGGCCAATTAATAGCAATATGAAATTATTTTAAAATTATAATACTGACATTTGAGTTTTACACAGTTTGAGCATCCTTTCTCCAGAATTCCAAAATATTCTGAAATCCAAAGTGGTTCATGTGTGGATGAAATAATGATAATAATAAGTTTATGCACAAACTATACATAAACTGTGTATATAAAATGTTTATGAACCATAAATGAATTCATTTTTCTGCAATTTGCAATATGGTGCAATATTCTTGCATCAATATATGTATGCTATAGTGGTGCGAACCCAGGAAGCCATAGCAGTAGCGAGTTAAATCTCAACACAAAACCATACTGATATTCCAAAGTTTTAGTTTAATGTTAGAAAATAGGGTTACATAACTACAAATTCTCAATTTTCTGTTTAGCCTTACAAACTCCTGCAAATAAAAGGAATTGTCCAGTTTATATTTAAAGGTGCTCAGAAAGATCTCACACTGCTAAGTCAGAATTTCCCTTCAGCTGTCGTAGTAAATATTCCAAAGAGTGTTACTGAACAACATACAAAAGCTGATATATTTCATAAAATAAAGTACTTAACAGAATGAGGCATGTGGATATTTCCCTGAGAAAAAGTTTAGCTGCAACACTTCTGCCACACCAGTCTGGAAACTTAACATAATGTGATTTACGATGCAGTTGATTCCTAAAATTAATACTTAAAAATTGTGGTTTCCTTTTAACATAAATCTACACAGAGTGCTGGAGAGCCTTTTTGGCTAGAAAGACATTATTTGGCTAGAAAGACATCCCAGCAAAATTGCATGTGGATGCTCTGAAGATTTTGTCAACTATGACTAATTTACTCAATTAAATTTTCATCTCTTGCTCTCTTCCTGCTAGACTAAGAAATTTTATCCCAAAAAATGTCAATCCTGATCTCTCCCTTCCTTTCTCTTCAATCAACATTATGAAAAAGAACCTGAGTGGCCACGACAGATGAGGATCCAGGACTGGCTCTCTGATAAGATCTTTTAAAAGGTAAAATAAATGGAGAGGTTAAGAAGTGTTTAACTTTAAAAAAAACTTTAGCAGAGGTGGCTAGTGGACTTCCATGTTACTGGGAAAGAGTAATCTAGATTTTATTCTGAACCTCAAAGGAGATAGGGAATAGCACCTCAGTTAACTCCTTTGTGGTCCAGACCAAAACCCAGAGGATTCCCCATCCCATTGATATGGAAACCACAACTCATAGCTGAATGCCCTTTGTAACAAAATGAATATGATGATAATCCTTTTGGAGGAAAGCTCATCCCCAAATGCACGGAACAACATAATCTTGCAACACCTGTTTTAAATATAAGGCAAGAAGAAAAACAGTGCACTCAGTATCTCTTTGACATCCTTATCAGAAGAGAGCTTGTACCATGCAGAATGTTGCCTGTCAGTGTCTGAGTTGATAGAGAGCTTTGTCTCGCAAATGCTCATCCAAGCAGTGTATCGCAAAGGGGTCGATGTCAGTGTCAAACTTGTTGGCAAAGAAGTGGTGTTTCCGTAACATCCAGTTCAAGTCTCCCACTCCAAAGACACACACTGAGCGGATGTGGATCCCACTGCAAGGCGGGTACGGGGCACCCTTTGACACATCCCCCTCAAAGTAATGCCACTTAACAAACCTGGCCAGAGCGTTCATGTCTGAGACATCATATTTATTACTGGCAGAGACAGCTCCAGGAACTTCAGGAATTCGCTGAAGAGTAGCCCACAAGTATTCATCAGGACTGTATGTGTCTTTAGCCCATTCTATAAAAGCAAGGATGTTGATGTTCTCCAATACATATTCTACAAACTTCCTGCTAACAACAAAGTAGGCACTGCCAGAGAAAATGGGTGTATTGAGAGGCGGGTGCTGCTTGTCTATTCCCATATTCTTTACCTTACCATCAATAACTTCATGATGCTTCTTCCACCGCACCTCCTTGTTTGAAGGCATTTTCTCGGTTTCCAAACTATTTTCACCTTTGAGGGCCTTCAGTTTCTCTATTATTTCCTGGTTAGTCTTGATAGGGAAATCCATACCACAAAGGTTGATCAGGTACTTCCAGTTCGCACTCCTCCTGTAGAGGTCTTTCATGCAGTTGAGGTCCGCTTGCACTCTGCTCCACGAGGCATACACAACACTTTCCAACTGGCTGGCAATGAAAACGTTGTCAAAGCATGAAGCAATCCCTTTAACTGCAGCCAGGAAAGACTCAGGGGACTTCTTATCAACATGAATGCAGTAATAGTTCTGAGGTGCATAGATGGCTCGCAAAAGCCTTTCAAGCATATTAATTTTGTGATGAACTACTATCGAATAAGCAATGGGAAATTCTGCTTCTTCTTTGCTCAGGGGTTCCATAATATATTTCCGTCTCTTAATAAAGGAGGCACAATCTGTTGTCTTGTTAATGTAGTCATTTGCAGTTAGCTTTGGGCGCTTCCTAAATGAAATAGTTAACAATTCCAGTTTTACTTTCTGAATTTCCTCTGGATCACCCTCCAATATCTTGGAGCAGTTTATATTAGTACTGGGGTTTTCATCACTCAGCTCCAGGTGTTCATGATGCAGATAGTTTGGTTTCTGGTGAGTTCGGATAAGGGACCAGGTCCCAATGGTAAAAATTAATACCAAGAGAAACTTGAAACGTAGAATATGACACTGACGAAATTTCCTCTTCAGCATTTCAGAGCGTGTTAGGAAATCCCCATGCATCTAGGAGGCTTTTGCTGTATACATGATCAAGTTCTACCTTCCAAGCCTTTTATTTTCACTACCCAGAAGATGATTCCTAGGAATTAAAAGTAAACATGTTAAAGCAAAACTTTAATCTAGTCAAGGAATTGTGTTTTTGAATCTTATGTCTTTCCACCTAAGCCCTACCACCATCTCTGACTCTGCATGTGGTTCTTGTTATCTCAGACTTCCAGGACTAGGTGTGATAGACATTTGACTGTGTCCTTTTCCCCATGATATTCTGTTGCTAAAATAAGACATTCTTTTACATTCAGGCCTTTGGATTGATGAGCTTGTTACTGTTTCACACTCAACTCCCAATCTTTTTTTTTTTGGCTGCCTTTTCTCCATGCACAGTTTCAGGTTTTGACTAAGGAGAAAACTGACTGAACTAACTCAGATGGTGTAGCATTCAATGTCACATTACATATCACATTACAAAAGCTGTTACAATGAAAAATCACTCAGCTGACACAAGTTATATTGCTCAGGAAAGCAGATGATTTCCATGAGTAGCCCAGTAATGGATGTGAGCTGGCACTGAAGCAAAGTGTGTCTAACTCAATGGAAAGGGCGCTTTACAGTACATTTCTTAGGGAAATGTTTAGAAGAGATCTTTGTAGAGTTGGCCTAATGTTTCCTAAACTGTTATTTCAAGACAATGATAATGTGCTGTGATTTCCTTTATTTGTAATTGAAAACATGCATTCAGCATGGTGACTGGCATTTATCTATGATTAGTGATTTATGTTAAAAGATTGCTCCCAAGAAAAGTCTGCACAGAACATGAAAGTGTGTGCGTATGGGGGGGGGGGGGTATTGTTTTCTGATTGATTTTAAACTTATAGATGCTTAAATGCATGTTTCTGGCTTTTTAAAAAAGCTTTTACTTTCAAAAATTTTATTTAATTCTTATTGAGTAGGAAACTAATATTTTTTATCACTTATAGACTAAAGTATGTGGGCAATACAGAGAGGTTGTGGCAAAAGACTACAGAGAATGCATTATTTACCTAAGAGAACACCTCTGCAGGAATTTCTGAATCCTCCAGTACAGTTCCATGATAAAACTCCAGCAGAAGCTGACCCCAGAGTCATGCTGGAGAACCTAGATATTCCTATAGAGGTGTCCTCTCAGATAAAAAAGTAGCAATTTCTTTATTTGCAGCTTTTAATTTTTTGCAGGAGTTTTGTGTCCCTAGCCTCAATAAATGTGGATGCCTGACTGTATTTCTGTGAACTGATGATTCTGTTAAAACCAAAAATGAAGTCAAAGAAACCCAATAAAGACATACACCAAATTGACATCTGTTTCATAGAATCATAGAATTAGAGTTGGATAAGACCACATGGACCATCTAGTCCAACCCCCTGCCATGCAGGAAAAGCACCATTTTGATGTTTCTTTTTTAAGTTGAGTGATACAACTGCATGGTGAGGCCATGTTTAAAACACAAGTCTCAAAATTTCAAAAGTCATAGCAACTCTGAATAAATGACGTATGGACACCATAAATAGATAGCTCCTGGGTTGCCAAGGAAAACTTTGAACTTTAGGGCCAGACTAGGCCACTGAATGGAACTGATGGAAAAGGAGTAGCACTGGGACACAAAAGCAGTATGAACACCATACCATGTGCATACATTTAGTGTGTTTGTTTCAATTCTAAGATAATATTCATGGGAGCAGAGAAAGAAACAGAATGTGGAGTGTCATGGGTTAATCCTTTCTCTCTGCATTTCCGCTCTTGTGTACAGTTATGCACTTTGATTCCACTTTAAAGGCCATGGCAGTGTTGTATATAAACTACATAACTGGTATGTTGCAGTTTGGCTGAAATTAGTAAATACCCCCTGCCTGAACTACAAACTCCAGGCTTCCCTTTGATACAACCATCACAGAATTGAAGCAGTATGAAAGAGTAGCTGGTGACACTGGCATCATGAAGCTGCTATCAGTGATACAGTAGCAAATTGTGCCCTGTTTCTGGTGGCCTTTTGTTAATAACTGAAGAAAAAGAACATTAGATTAAATAAATGTCTAGATCCATGTCCTTTTCTGTTCTTGTGGGACAGCGTTTCTCAACCAGGGGTCAGGACTCCTGGGGGAGTCATGAGGGGGGTGTCGGAGGGGTTGCCAACAACCACCAGAAAACACAATATTTTTTGTTGGTCATGGGGATTCTGTGTGGGAAGTCTGGCCCAATGCTATCATTGGTGAGGTTCAGAATGCTCTTTGATTGTAGGTGAACCATAAATCCCAGCAACTACAACTCCCAAATGACAAAATCAACCCTACCCACAACCCCACCAGTATTCAAATTTGGGCGTATCGTGGGTGTTTGTGCCAAATTTTATCCAGTGAATGAAAATACATTCTGCATATCAGATATTTACATTATGATTCATAACAGTAGCAAAATTAGAGTTATGAAGTAGCAATGAAAATTATTTTTTTCTTCGTGGTCTCTGCGAATGCACACTTGTGGAGAGACTGCGCCTGCGCGGGCTCCAACGGAAACTTCTACATTTTAAAACTTTTCAAGTTTTGGCGGTAACCCCGCCCAGCCCCGGCAGGGGATAAAAGGGCGCCCCGCGCACACCGATCCAATTCCTTTTTTTCCGCCGCACGGCTCGCTTCGGTACTTCTATTGTTGGATAGAGATATTGTTGGATA